GTGAAGAGGAATTGATGAGAGCACATGTTTAATTAAAATTAGTCTTCCCATAGGGTTTAGGGTTTTACTATACCAACTGTCCAAGTATTTATCAAAGTGAGCTAGTAGTTTGGAACAGTGATGTTGTTTGAGTTTCCCTTTGGTCATGGTAGCTCCAAGGTAGATGAATGGAAGGGTCCCATGAGACATCCCCAGGTTCCTTTCAATAGCGCTTATTTTTCCTTGGCTCACCTTTTTGCCAGTGTAAAAACAAATCTTGTCCAGGTTTACCTTCTGCCCTGATCCTTTTTTATAGTCTTCTAAAATTCTTCTGAATTTAAGAAGGTTTTTAGAATCTCCATTAACAAAGACCACCAAGTCATCTGCAAAGGCAAGATGGTTTACCAAAGGTAAGTTCCCAGTGTTGAAAGAGCCTATGGTAGTGGTTCTTCATGTGAGAGTTGATCATCCTGGAGAACCCCTCACTACTAAGTAGGAATAACAAGGGAGATAGAGGGTCACCTTGTTTCACTCCCCTTTTCATTGGGAAAAAACCAGCAGGTGTTCCATTGATCAATATTGATAGGTATGCACCTTTCAAGTTGGCCATTAGAAGCTGTTGTGACCTTTCATTAAATCCCATTAGATCCAGAATAGCTTCTAGATATTCCCATTCCACCTCGTCAAATGCTTTGGCCATGTCTAGTTTGACAATACAGTTATCTCCCCTTGTGTTTTTGTCAATCATATGGACCATTTCTTCTGTCAGAAGTATCTGCTCTTCTACACCTTTGTTTTTTTGAAAACCTGTCTGTTCCTCTGATATGCACTTAGGCAGAAGGACTGAAAGTCTAGATGCTAGGATCTTACTGATGATTTTGCTCATAAATATTGAAAGAGATATAGGTCTGTAATCCCCAAAAGATTTAGGATCTTCTGATTTGGGGATCAAAGTAATGAAAGTACTCCCAAATGATTTAGGAACTGGAATTCCAAGGAAAAATTCTTGGCAAGCTAGGATGACATCCAACTTGATGATATTCCAACATTGTCTGAAGAAGTAGCCACCATCAGGTCCTGCTGCACTGTATGGGCTCAGATCCCACACAGCTTTAGTCACTTCCTCTTCATTAGGAACATTACAAATGAGCTCGTTATCAGAGACATTGATAACCTCAGGGATAAACTGGGATATGAGGCTAACATCTGTGATTGAAGTATTAGAAAATGAGGATGAGAAAAATTTGATTGCTTCAGAGCAGATATCTTCTATATTGGTGAGGATTTGACCATTTTCATCTTGGATGGATCTAATGGTAAGCTTATTTCTCTTGTTCTTAACAAAGGAATGAAAAAACTTTGAGTTGCAGTCTCCATCTGTCATCCATTTAATATTTGCTTTTTGTTTCCATAACTCTGTTTCTCTATTGATACTGCAAATTAGGTTGGCAGAGGCTAGGTTTGATGCAGCTCTGTTTTCCTCAGTAGGATTAATCTCAAACTCCTCCTGAGCTTTGCTTGCCTCTTTTTCTTTGATTTTCACATCCTTAAAAATATTTCCAGAATGCTCCTTGTTCCAAGAAGACAGTTCAGATTTCAGTCCCTTCAATTTTGTTGCAAGGCCAGACATCCCCCCGTTCTAGGGCTTGATTCCCAAAACTTTTCAACTGTAGAGTAAAAAGTGTGATGAAAAGTCCAAACATTGAGAAATCTGAAGGGTTTAGGTCCACTGAAACCATCAGTAGTACACTTAAAAAGTATTGGTTTGTGATCAGATGTAGTTTTACTGAGGTGATAAGAGCAGATTTCATTAAACATTTGGGTGCAATAGGAATTAGTGAGGATCCTGTCTAGTCTTCTCCACACCCTTCCCTTGCTTCTGACCCCTGTCCAGGTATAAATACCACCATTGAAAGGGGGGAGATCAGGCCACAAGATTGGATGCAATCTGCAAATTCTTCCAAGTCTTTAGAGTTTGGGTCAGAACTCCCTTTGTGCTCATTGAAGTGAAGAATAGTGTTGAAGTCCCCGCCCACTACCCAAGGATGATCTACAGAGCTAATCGTGATAAGATCCTCCAAAGCTGCCTTCTAAGAGTTGTACTGTGACCACCATAGACTGCAGTGATGCTGAATTTTGATTTGAGGTTGGAGCTCCAGAATTCACAGGTCAAGCATTGTCTATTTTCATTGAAACTTTGTAGGGAGAGGGAGCTTGCTTTCCAAAAAATCCAAATTTTATTGTTGAGCCCATCTTTGGAGAAGTTGAAACCAAGGTTAAGGGTATACCAATCCCTTTTTTTCTATTTACAATAGGTTCAATGATGCACAGATAGTCAACATTATGTAATTTAACTAGTGTTTTCAGCCTAGTAAGTGAGGAGGCTGCACCACAAACATTCCAAAATAAGCAATTCATAAGAATTTTTTGGTGTGTCCTTCAGTAAGCCTTGTTTTGCTTCTGGTCATTATTGTCCTTGAAGATGGTTGTTTACCCTTCTTGTGAGATTTAGGGATGGCCAGAGAGGGAGAATTCTCTTTGGGTAGAGATACTTCGAAGGGCTGAAGTTCTGAGTTGATCCAAAATGTTGGTTCCTTTTCCCCTTCAGAATGGCAAACTGCCTCTGGGAGATCTACTTCTCCTTCACTATCTGATCCCATGCCTGTTGAGACCCAAGCCTGAGGATCAATTAGAAACAAGTCATCCTTAGATCCCATGTCCAATGTTTTTGAGCAGTGATTTGAGTGCCTTCCCTTGATTTAGAGGGTTATGATGATGGTTAACTGATTCCTTGCTTGCTGATGACAGGAAAATTTTTGAGGCAAAAGATTTAGCAGCTGAGAAGGAAGGAAAGTGCTCCTGTACATTGAAGAGGGAATGTAGGCCCCACTTTTGAGACTGTTCACTCTCCTCAGGTAAAGTGCTATGATTATTTTCTACGGCTAAAATTGGAATATGTAGGAGAGAGACATTTGGTTGAGCTGCAGAATTTTCACTAATTGGTTGTGTGTCCAGTAGTTGTTGGAAAGGATTCTATGGCCCCCTTAACTGTTAAAGTTTTTTGGACTGAAGCCCCTGGATGTTTTACTTGCACCCATACATGTGAACTAATAGGATGAGTTGCCTGGCCCCTTTTGGATTTTCCCAATGTCCAGCCTGCATCCTTGCCCCTAGGATGAGTTGCCTGGCCCCTCTTGGGGTTCTCCAATGTCCAGGCTGCATCCCTACGAGTACTGTATGGGTGTTGTGAATGTGTAGCCTGGCACTTCTTAGAAGATGAATCTAATATCCAGCCATCATTCACCCCAAAATTTTGAAACCAACCTTTAGGGTCCTTATCCTGACACAGGTGTTTTTTACTATTAACTCTCCCAGCTTTGTTACTAACCTCTGTCCACTCCGAAGAAGTCTTGGTGCTAAGATTTACAAATTTACCCTTGTTCTTGTCAGGAACTGTAGAATGGCCATGGGATCTGCACTTGAACTTTGAAGGTCCAAGTTTGCAGCATCTATAGCAGAATCCTGGGACATTCTCAAAAGAGCATTGAATGATGATGTCTCTAGGGCCAATTTTAAGGTGAACCTGTGGAGGAAGAGGCCTAGAGATGTCCATCTCTATGCAACATCTAGCTTCTTTAGTACGAACAAGATGGGTTGTTTTAGAATCCATGGTACAAGGTTTCCCCAAGATGCTAGCAATAGTAAACAAAGCCTTGGGAGTAATGAGATGCGTAGGGAGATTATGGAGAGTGGCCCAGATAGGAATAATAGGACAGTCTTTATTTGGACTCTGGTGTCCATTTGAAAATATAAAATCTGATATGGTTAATGTACCAGTTACCTCTCATGAAGAATCTAAGATATTCCTCCTCTTTGTTAAAGATGAACAGGATATCATTGTTGGATAGTCTTCGTAGTTTGAAGCCTCCTTTGAATCCAATGCCTAATAAGAAGTCTTTGATAATCAGCAGGTTGAGGTGTTTGTAAGCTCTTCCTACCAGTGCATATTGAAGATTCTCGCAGAGCTTTCTTTCTTCTTCCAATGTAAATGTAGCAGATGGCATGTTATTATACATTCCCTCCACTTTGCCCATATGAGTGTTTCCATCTTTGAATAGTTCAGAGAAAAGTTTCTGTGATCCTGTATTGTGATTAAATGATGGATAACTATGGGGAGATTTGAAAGTATTTGTGTAAATAGCAGTTTTGAACTTAGAACTGGCCGGAATATTAGCCGGAAAACCAGAGTTTTCCGGCGGCCTCTCTCCTCTCCTCTCTCTCCTCATTATATATATATATATATATATATATATATATATATATATATATATATATATATATATATGACATGCTTCGGTGAGATGACGCGAAGCTCACTATATTACACTGCAAAGCACACCGTCTTATTAAAGGTTTTATGTTTATTTTTTTGCATATCCAAAAAAAAGTTCTATTTTCCACTTTAAAAAACAATTTGGTGGCGCTTATTACATGCTAAAAAAATTGGCTCTTGTTTGCTTTGTATGCATTCAATACTTGGTGCTCTCTGCTTGCTTTATTTTGCTTCGTTTAATAAGTTTAATTCTCCTCGTGAATTTTTTATGCAGGCTGTTTGAACAAGAGACTCTTGAAAACAGTCTTTCTATTTTTGAGTAGAGGCAATGTCAGCATACACAAAAACCTGTTCTCTTCAACTTATTACTTAGTTTTTATTCTTATTGAAATAAATTCAATAAGTTATTCACTAAATCAACCCCGTCTTTTGCCAGCCTGAGTTATAGCCATATGCCCAATGGCTAAAGAAACATATGTTCCCTCTTTAGGTTCCCATCCCAAATATTACATGCCACATATTAACTTCTTTCATAATGGCCATTCAAAATCTCAGACACTTATGAATAGTCCTATGGCATAAGCTATATAAATTTTGTGTTTGTTGTTTACGAGTTTTGACTGAAGTTTTCGAATGAATTTATACAAAAATTTGGATATAATTATAAAATAAAATTTATATATTTAAAAACTATATCAAAACTCCTTGCATCTCAATTTAAATTGTCTGTTTCGATTTACGATGCTTGACTAAAATTATTTTCAAATCATTTTATATGAAAAATGGTGTACAATTAAAAAATAAAAATTACATATCAAAAACTACATCAAAAGAACTACAAAACTAGTGGTGATACGACTATATTATTTAATCACATGACTAATAAATATAGAGAAAGAAAGTAAATAAAATCTAACTCTGTAAATAGTAACAAATAATTTAATTTGGGACGGAGGAAGTAGAACACATATGACGTTACTCTATTTTATCAATTGGGCAACAAAAATGAGTAAAGAAAGTGATTAAAGTTTAACCATGTAAATAGTAAACAAATAACTTAATTTGAAACAGGAGTAAGTGAGTAACTAATACACCACATAATTTGTATTTAATTCTATGTCAAAATTTAACTCTTATTGACTGTAAAAACTCCAAATTGGACAAATGCTGTGGGACAGGAATATTTTTTATAAACCTCTAACATCTGAAATTTTAAGATATCGTTTTTCTTTTGCTTACCGTTTAGCAAACCAGGCCACACAACCTTAAATGACACGGGTGAATGGCATCACCTCCCTCCCTCCCAAGTCCCACCCCACCCTTTGTACTGCACATTTTACTGAAGGATGACCAATCCTTAATTAATCGTTTTTGTTTCATTGCTTTGTTTGAGAACAATATTTGTGATTATCATTTTGGATGATTTTTTATTGTGCAAATTAATTTTAAAAAAGCCAAAGCTAAAAGCTATCGAAGAATAACATTTTTCAACACACAAATGATAAACACGGAAGTTAATGCCAAAGCTAGCTAAGTAGTTTTATCAAGCAGTTAATAAACACATGCAGCTGTTTTTTTTTTTTTTTGCAAAGTACTTGTAACTGATTTGACAAAGAAACCGATTGCCAAACAAGAATCGGGGCGACGTCATCTAATATTAATTATATAATACTCTGTACTACATATAACATTCGGACTCGGCATAATTTATTCTGTATTACTACAAATTAGCATATGTTATAAGGTTCGTTGAGCGGATCTGCAATTCTGTATTGCCAGTACTTATCAGCAAGAGTTATATATGCAGGGAGAGAAAAAATGATGGAACAGAGTAAAGCACCTTGAATCTATAATGTGCAATATCCTCACAGCCAAGGACATAAAGTTGACAACTTGATCAACTAAGATTCGGCTTGCTGAGCTTTTTTCCTCTGTTGCAACTTTGGGAGCCTTGGGAACAATATATTGTTCAATTGTCTCTCGGCACTATACTCTGAGGAGGCCTGTAAAAACATCATATTTCACTATCAAAGTTTGAGAGATGTGTCAGAGAAAAAATGTGGTATTCTTGAAGGTACAGTGATAGTGAGTTAAAGCACCCATACCCGTTTTTTAAAGGGAAAGCGTAATGTTTGGACTTGTGTTCCTGAGCAAACTCTCAGATCAATACCAAGGCTATCCACACCTATCAGAGCTACTTCCTGCCATGTATGTCATCAAAAGGTTCTAAGGTATATTGTGATTCGTGAGAATAATGCCCCTACAAAATTCATTTGTTTGCCAAGACGACCAAAATGATTGTCCACTACCTCTTGGGGCATGTGTTAGAACGTTTAAAAAAAACAATGATGATAATGTAACCTCATTTGAAATTATGAAAGCTTATATATGATATTATCCTTTACTTAAAGAATGTGCCCACAATTTTAGGAGCACTGCTAAAAAATATGTAGCAAAATTAAAGAGTGCTTCTGGGAAGGTAGTTGATGTTTCCAGATCCACTTGAAGTTCTTTCAGATTCGAGAGAAAAGTGCATGGTTTCTTGAATGATTTCTTTTGCTTAAAGCAACTGAATATAGAGAAATTGCGGCATTAAGTTTTCAAAAGGAGCACAAGATACTGAAATAGAAATATTGAAATTGCTCATTTAAGGAATGAGGTTACCTCCACTTGGATACCCTTTTGTCGCATGCAGAGAGATTTGAGAGCTTGAATGGTCTTTTCACCACCAGCTTTAAAACGAGACAATATTTTTACTGCCGAATGTGCAATTGCATCAGGCTGAGCTCTCCTGAAATCTTCTATTTCAACATCAGTCTGTAAAAAGCATTCAAAGGTAGGAGGACATCATATCATAACTTAGTTAACAAAGAATTGAAGCCTATTTCTAGGGTAGTTTGCAATTACAAATAATATTATTTGAGGGTTAATAATTAATTGCATGTGAGCATTATGATGGAGCAAGGGGTGCGTAATATGACAACAATCATGGCTTGCACAACTACCTGATGCCCATGAGCAGAAATAAACTGAATCTTAACCATTTCTAGTTTGTAAAATGAGGTTCCATTTCCCGGGCCTTCGTCCTTCTCCAATTCCTCTGCACATTTTGAGTCATCTTGATCTGATCCACTTTTGTGTCCGTGGCCATTTATCCCAGCAATACTTCTTTCTTTACAAGCTGAAGATTTTGCATTTTGACTCCAATCCATATCACTGAATTCGTTGTCAGAAATCTGCTTTTGGAGGATCGTGTGTTCTTCAATGTAGGCTGTCCTTAGAATGCCTTGTATTGATAGGCCTACTGGAGACTGTTCCATAAAATCTATTGGACCATCATTTACAACCTGAGTACCAAAGAATATGTCAAAAGACTAGGGAACTATGGAGGGTCACATTGCCATTAGCTCAGTTACTTGAAAAGAATGTGTGCTTTGAATATAGAAATTAATGAGAAAATCACTGATACGAACCTCATCCCAAGCCCAAACCCTTATGCAAGGATGAAAGGCCAAAAGCAAACCAAGAGCAGACCAGTTTCTCTTCACTCGTAGTTTAGGAATCTTTGCTGTTTAATTAATTTCCTACTTATTTCTAGCCATGTGCCAGTTTGTTAGTATTTAGCTTGCTGGTCTTTGTTTTTGCACTCCACTAGGCGCATATCTTTAGTATTCCTCCACGTGCTACAATTTTGGTCCACTTTCTCAGTTAGAATTAAGTCAGTTGTAATTGAGCATTATAAGTGCTCCACCTAATTATTGTTTCAGTAGGGTAAAATCAATCAACTCAGTCCAGAATTATTCCAAATGTTAAAATTCTTCACTTGTGACTCATTTTGTTTAGCATCTCTGTTTTACTAATCTGGGTTGTATCAATATAGCATCACAGCAATGTTTATTAACCATGGTCAAACACACAGTACCGCTCCTTCCTCTGACACTGTTACCCAAGCATCCATACCTCCACAAACCTATCCACCACCAAGCACCCTTTTTGTCCTAAACGTGGAGCCCCTTGCTCAACAACTCTCTCGTATCGTCAATTGACTGGCTGCTCTTGAACCTTTGGTGCTTGATGTGGCATCATTGAAAGCACAAACTAGAGCTCCGATAACTGGGGTAAACCTACTGGATTCAATCATAGTTTGAGATCCCATCAATGCTCTCATTGGGTTGATTGGGAAGAAGCCCAACTTTCATGGATATCCCACCCTAACCACAAATTTCCATACTCTAGAATGGGATTTCCGAAGTTTGAAAAAGGCAACCAAGTGTAGATCCTTTGGGAGAAAAAATTTTCTGTCATTATCAAACTGTGGATGATTTTAAGAGTTGACACTTGGGATTGCAGCAATGTATTCAGAACTCAGAAGGATATGCATTGAATTTGTTGGCATGGATCAGCACCAAAGACACCATCTTATATTGGGAAGAATTAGCCAAAGTTTTGTAAGAAAATTATGGATCCACTGAATTTCAAAACCCAGATGAGCATTTATGTGGTATTCGGCACAGGAAGTGTGCAAGAGTATCGTCAGGACTTTGCCAAGCAATCCTCAAGAGTGAAGAACTGGGTGGAACATTGCGTGCACAGAGCATTCTTAAAAGAGTTGAAGGGAGAACTCAAATCTGATGTCTGGATCCAATAGCCCAGAAGGGTTTCTAAAACAAGGAGCTTGGCAATTGAGTATGAAGCAAAACTCAGGCCCACACAGCAACAGCCAAACCGGTCCAATAATAACCCATCCAATTGTCTCACAAAAGAAGCAGATGCCCCTTATTCCCAATCTCTCGCAGCATCACGCATTTACACCTGTACAGTTCTCGCAAAACCCACTGAGAAAACAGAGGATTATGTTACCGCTGCAAAGAGAAATTCATCCATGGCCACCGTTGCAAAATCTCTTCTCTCTCCCCAATTGAGATACCAGAAACTGATGATGCCGAAGATACAGGACACATGGACTAAGGAATTCACAGGGTAAATGGCCAAAATATCTTTCAACACAATATTGGGCAAATCAAAAGGAACAACCATGACGAACTCAAACACTTTAGTGTCCAAATTGGTAACAGAAACGTCATACAATGTGAAAGTGTGTGCAAAAGGCTTGACATTTATTTTCCAGGAGTCAAGGACTCACCATCAGCGAAGATTACTACCCCTTCTCCATGAAAGGGGCTGATTTTGTTCTTGGCATCTCTCAACACTGTGTAAACAAATTGGAGTAAGATGTTTCTTATATTCCAGGTTGATGGAAGGACATACAGACAACAAGGAGTCTCGACCTGACCCAGTGGAAGCTTCTCTTATAAGTAAACAGAGTCTGGCTGAAATTACATCCCCTGCATTTCCATCCATCCAGGCAATTCTTCAGGGACTCGGTGCTGTATTTGTTGAACCCAGGAGCCTCTCTTCATTCCAACAACATTGTCTCTGCAACACTGCATTCCTCTACTTCAGCAAAATTACCCAACACCAGACCCTAGTGGTATCCTCATTGTCAAAAATCTAAGACTGAGAGGAAGATTGGAGAACTCTTGCAGATAGGATCCATCAAGCCTAGTACCAAGCCCATTCACCAGTCCAGTGCTGCTAGTAAAGAAGGCATACTCATCCTGGAGGTTGTGTTGATTTTCGTAAGCTAAACCAGATTACAATTCCAAATAAGAGCAACTTTAATGGGAGATGAAAGCTCGAGTAACGCTGATGTGGAAGGGGGGAAATAGAGCGGAAGGGTTAAAATGGCAAGAGGAAAACAAGAAAAAAAAAGGAATCGGGGAAAGGATATGCATCGAGGAACATTGGAAAAATTTGCTGCCATATGGGCCCCATATCTAGTTTTTTACGGAGTAGCAATTTTTTTTGCCCTCAATTGTCCATAAATCAGCTGGAGTATTTTTTTTTTTAAGATTGGGATGAAAAAAAAGGTTGTTTGAGAAAAATATTTTTTTTTTGTTCAGAAAAAAAATGATTTGTTGTAAGAACTAATTATTCAATCTTATAAAGTTAAGTTTATGGTATATATGCTTTTATTAAAATTCAAATATATAAATCTAAGTTACTTTTTTAAAAAATAAATCAATTTTATTTCTTAGATTAATTATGCACATAAAAAAATCAGGACAAATGAGGCCCACCATTTTAAAAAAGGAAACATATGAGGGGAAACACTAAAGTGGTGAGAGGAAAATTAAAGGGGAAAGTGATATGGCATTAGAAATAGATGGAGGGGAAAGTGAGAGGAATGGCTAAAGTTGCTCTAAGTACCCTATAGCCTATAACTAGAAAAAGATGAGTTATTGGTTGAATTACAAGGAGGCAGGAGCTGCTTACTTTTCAAAAATTGATATGTATTTGGGTTACGATCAAATTCAAGTACACCCTGATGATGTCCACAAAACAACTTTTTGCACTCACTCAGTCATCACGAATTTATGGTCATGCCGTTGGATTGACCAACACTCTAGGCTCTAGCTACTTATCCAGTGGGCATGAAAGATTTGTTCAGACCCTATTTGTGGAACTTTGTCTTGGTGTTTTTTTGATGTTTATCTACAATCCAACATTACAAGCACATCTAGAGCATTTGTGAGTGACACACCAAACCCTTCCATCATGCTTTTATTTAACTAATCCCGTCAAATGCTCATTTGGACAGGTTAATATCAGATTTCTCAGGCATGGCAGATCCACAGGGGCATAGGAGTTGATCCTGACAAATTCCAAACCATCTTGGATTGGCTAAATCCAAAAATGTAAACAAGCTACTAGAATTATTGGGGTTAACTACTTAATACTGTAGATTTGTCGTATTAATGGTCTCATAGCACACAATTTAACAAAGTTGACAAATAATAATGCATTCTTGTAGAGTACAAAGTTGACAAGACTGCCCTTACTACTGTGCCAGTTTTATGCCTTGAAATTTCAGCTCCCCGTTTGTGGTGGAGTGCAATGCGTAGGCCAAGGGTGTTGGCGCAATATTACTAAAATACGAACACCACACTGCTTATTTTAGCAAGGGGTTTTCTCACTCAAATCACCACAAATCTGCCTATGATAGAGAGCTCTTGGCCTGAGTTTTAGCTCTCCAGAAATGGAAGCATTATCTCATTGGCAAGCATTTCTATGTTGACAGCCACTTCCATTTGAAGCACTTGTTACAGCAGAACTTATCCACTAATTAATACTCCCTCTGTCCGGTATTTCTCTTCCCGTAGTGACCGGGCACACTTTTTAGTGTTAGGTACAAAATACTTTAACTTTCCATATTTGCCCTTCCTCCATATGAATCAGTAAAAGCTTTGAGGTCCCATTTTTTTGCCCTTACCACATATGGAGCCAGCTATGGTAAAAATTGTTGTGCCTCAATCCTGTCATCATCATTCCTCATTGCACCTGGATCCGGATCTCTGGCGGAGCCACCAACCCCTTGCTGCGTCGAGCCATCAAAGAAGAGGAAGAGGTAGATAAAACGTTTTGGATCTGGTAAGAAGAGGAAGAGTAGCCACTCCCCTGCCGCATCTGTCTGGATCTCTGACTGGGTGAAAGGCTGAAAGCTCTGGGCAGAAGCTTAGGGTTCATTAACTGGTACACTGCCGTGGGAGGATGAAGCCGTAGAGTTTGAACACCGCCGCCTTCCGCCAGGGCAGCATCAGACGAACCAGAAAAGGCCAAACGTCTAAAAGATTTTACCCTGATTTAAGGGCAAGAGGGACTTTTACTCCTGATTAAATTGACATTAATGGGAAGAGGAAGAAAGATATAGGACGAACCAAAAAGGAATACCTGAAGAAAGGTATAGGAGGGAGGGAGTAGCAAAGACTGATTTCAAAATTGCTAGCATTTGACTTCACTATCACCTATAATATAAGGAAAGAGAACAACAGAGCTGATGCACTGTCAAGAAGACCTCATAAGTAATAATGTTGATTTTTCTGAGTAAAGGAATTCTCTCCGTAATGATCCCTACACCAAGAACATTATATACAACCTTCCTCTGCACTAGATTTCTCTTGGGTAGGAGCAATGTTATAGAAGGAAAGCGCTGTATTTCTCTTGCCTAGACCGCCTAGGTGCTGGCTAGAATTAGGCAAAGTATTTTTTTTTGTATATGACGGTTGAGGTTATTAAAATAAAATTTTACGGATGAGATTATTAAACTAAAATTTGACGGTTGAGAATTTTTAAATAAAATATATGTAGGTATCTAACATAAAATTAATGTGTAATTGATGTAGTAACAAGATCTTTTATTATTAACGAGTGTTTTTCAATTAATGTGTGCCTATGTGATTACAAAATAAAATACTGGGCATCAAATGACTTACAAATTAACATTCACACAATGCAAAGATATCATCAAATAATCACATTTTATGAAACATATGTCTATTTTGACTTATTATTGTCAACTATACAAAAAGTGTTTATATAAAATTATGTCATTTTATCTAAAATAATTTTTAAATTGTAATGGGAACCTAGGCACTTTGGCCGACTTTTGAGCCGCCTAGGCTAAAATCGGGGTGGTTAGGCACCGGCGAGCCACCGGAGACCGCCTTTAGAACATGGGGTAGGAGAATAACTCTTTTTGTAAGGATCAATTCGCCATTCTCCAAGGCAGTCCACTTCAGGGGAATTTAATTGAAGACACTCACTCTCCCTAACATGTGATCCTAGTAAAGCCTTAAAGAGGCTCTCTTCTAGCTCGTATTGGCCACATATGAAACGGGATGTGAAGATTTTTATGAAGCAATGTTTATTTTGTCAGCAGATTAAACACCAAACCCTAGCTCCAGCAGGTCTTCTACATCCCCTGCAACTGTCCCATCAGGTTGGGATGGCATCTCCATGGTTTTCATTGTTGGACTTCCCAATCCTGCATCTTGGTGGTTGTGGTTCGGTTCGGCAAATATGGCCATTTCATCGCACAGAACACCCCAACCCAGCCTAATCTGTATCTGCCACCTTCTGCAGAGTTGTAAGATCACATGCCTTCCCACTTCCCATCATTCGAGATCGGGACTCTCTCTCGCTCCTTTTCACTAGAACTATTCGGGCATAGAGCAAGACAAAACTCAATATGGGCACAGCCTATCATCCATAACCCGGAAGCCAAGTGTAGGAGTTCAACAGGTGTTTGAAAGACTATGCTATTTTATTCATGAACATCTTTCTTTTTTGTACGAGTACTTGTGCTGGGAAGAATACTGTTAAAACACTAGTTTTTATTCTTTAGCAGGTGCTTCCCCGTTCAAAGTCTAATACGGTCTAGACCACCCAACTCCTTACCCTAACATCAAGGGTGAAACTCATTCAGTTGAACTAGAGAAGAAACTTCTACAAAGGGATTTCATGCACTCTGTCATGCACGACCCCTTGGGTAAAGCACAATGTTGGATGAAGTTACACGCCAATCTCAAATGCAGAGAGGTGACATTAGAGGTAGGACTTCTGCTCTTCCTGTGTCTCCACCCTTGCAAACAACAATCACTTGCCAAATACTGATTTAGAAAACTTTGGGTACGGCTTTTTGGCCCTTAGGAAGCGTTCTATCATGCGGGAACTGTAACTGGTGCAGTTAAACTTCCAGTAATCGCATGGTTCGCCCTATTATCATGTGCCCATTCAGCATCAGCATTAGCTTTAACTTTAGCACTTTAGCTTTTTGGAAATGATATACTACAATATCCTTTAGCATTAGAATTTTGAGATTAATTTTCACTAATCAAACATTATCCAAAAAGCAAACGCTAATTACAAACGTTGTTACCAGACAGACCACATGGCTCCTTGTAATGAAAGTGAATGGTAGCTTGGCACTACCATCACAACCCCCTTTCCTTATTAATGGTAATTGGGAATTACAGCTTGTCCTGGAGGAGGTACGTTGGCATTGGTGTTCATCATAGGAAAGCTAGAACACCCTTGAACTTCTGATCAAATGGAGGGACCGCCCCATAGATGAAGCAAGTTGGGAAGAGTATGACTTGCTTGCCCATCAGTTCACTCCTTTCCCCCGAAGTATTAATACTAGATACATAACTCAACCAGCCCAAGACCAAACCCTTATGCGAGGAAGGGCCCAAAAGCAATCTAAGATGGACAGCGTCAGGGTCAGCTCAAAAGAGGGAGCATCCTGAGCAACCAGTCAGGGCCACGATATATATATATATATATATATATATATATACACACACACACACACACATACATATATACCCATAGGGGGCCTACTATTTTTTTATTTTTTTATTTAATATTAAAAAAAGTTTCCTTGTTTCTTCTTTCATATCTTCTCATACAGTCATTCATTTCAAGTCCGCATCCACTCCTTTTTATTCTTCCTTTTTTTCTTTTTTATCTTCTTTCTTGTGCCTCTTCTAATTTTTCTATTCCTTTCGAGTGCACGGGATGAGATCCCCTAATCCTTCCACACTTTTTATAAAAAAGTTTATGATTTCCCTTCTTTAGTTTTTATTAAGTTAATTTGACTTGTTTATATTTTCTAATCATTAGTTTTATGAGATTTATCTTTTCTTAGTTTATAATTTGTTGTATAAAGTTTGAATGATTAAAAATTCTAAAGTTAAGTAGATCTATTATTATTAGCATTATTTTTAATTCTTGATTTTTTATAGAATAAAGGGGTATATAGATAAGATAATATTAGGTATGATAATGTTGATATTGAAATTATGCCTCATCATATATTTTTGTTCCTTTCAAGCACGTGTTTTCCTAAAATGTCCGAGACAACCCTGAGCAGTGAGATTTGTCTTTACTCCAGGAGAGAGGATTATTATCTGATTTATTAATTTCCTATTTATTCTTAGCCATGTGGCAGTTTATTAGCATTGTATCTGTTCTCCTTTGTTTTTGCACACCACAAGGCACATATCTTTAGTTTTCCTCCATGATGCTACAGTTTGCATCTACTTTCTCCATTACTATTTAAGTCACTTGTAATTGAGCATTATTAATGCTCCACCTGCGTAATTGTTGTAGTATGGAAAAATTAACCAATGTAGCAAAGATGTGTTCCGTGTGTCATGATTTTCCACTTGTGGCTTATTTTCTTTAGCTTCTCTGTCTTACTGATATGGGTTGTATCAATCACATGGATAAATTTTAATTATTGAAAAATAAAAAGGTAACCTCGGTAAGCCTTCTGGCAAAATACATAGGATGAGAAGATCGCATGGTCTCCAACTTTGACCAGTCAACTAATGATCCTTCAGAACCATCATCCCCGTCATCTTCATGGTCAAGAACAGTATCCCATTCCTTCAGGTAAAAATAGAAAAACACGCATTACAACTCGACCACAAGCCCATTGGCTTAACGGCCCTCACATTAATGTACTAAAAAAGTCACCTCTTCATAATCATTGACGTCGCCATGATCATCATCGTCAATGTCACCCTCATTGTCATCACTGTAGTCACCATTAATAATAGCATCCTCGTCATCAAATTCATCAATGCCAAAATCAATTTCTGATTGGATGAATGACTGCATTTCACTTAGCACGTCTACAGAGTCTAGGCCAATAAAAACTTGCTGCACCCAGTAGAAATATAAATAAAATATGTAAAAGCATAAGAAAGCACAGGATATGCAATTACCAAGAGAGAAATAAGATTTATGCCATACCACATGGTTTTCATAGCTTGTCAGATTTTGCAGAAGGTTTTCTTCATCCATTACTTGAAAGTAAATGCCTGACAAGAGGTTAAATCTCTAAAACAAACATCAAAAGGAATTTGATGCTGGCAAGAAAGTCGTGTCTTACTTCCATGTTCATCAGTTAGATAAGGTAAATCCTGACAGAAAATGTTCTCATGTGTTTCATTGCTCGCTACACCGGTAAACACAAGTGTTGCGCTATTGTTAACCTGCAGATCACAATTTGAGTAAAGTATTAACAAATTTGAGATTTTTAGCTGACGAATTACAATAATGTGTGTGTAGAGATAGGAGCTACGGGTACTAAACTCACACTTTCACACAATATTGTGTCAAAAATCCACACCTTTGTTGGGTAGCATCCCAAGTCCCACGACAGAGGGAAAGGGAAAATTAGAATAAAAAAATAAACTTCAACTCAACTCCATTAGCAGGGGACCTTTTAGGAGATTCCAAAAACAAACCTGTGGGCATTTGGCCCAAAGCAGATAATATCATACTAATGCGGAATTGGGGAAGGTACGCACACTCTCAAATAGGAGTAACGGACTCCTTTAGACTTACGTTTGCCTGAATTAAGTCATCAAAAATAGACATACTTGATACTCTGCATTTGCTTAACTCATAGACCCAAAAAATTATACCACAAATTTTTTTGAAGGCCCCAAACCGGCTCCCCCACTAGGCTCGTGTGGAACCCAAAAATAAATTTGAAGTTCTTGGTGTAACAATAGAACATGACAAAGAGAGATCGTGCCTTGTCGAAAGTCTTCGTGAGTGGTCTTGGAGACCTGCAGTTGATGTCTTGTGCTAAAAGTCTTTCCGACAATCAACGACTCAACGTGTCCCGCGAGGTTGTAGAGGCGGTGTGGTTGGTGCCTTGTTTTGAAAGTCTTTTCAAAAATGAGGAAGTCGAACAACGTGTGCGATGAGATTGTAGCGGCGGCAGTGCAAGATGGTTAGCATATCAGATAGATTATAGATGAAGGGGAGGTTACAAGTTTTTTGTCCTTAGTTTGAGGGGAAGATTGATGGGTAGCAACTCAATCCCAACCTAACCAAATTAAAACTAGTAGATTGAAACTACTCTAGGTAAAGAAGTAATCTCCTTTCACCTCAATTAATGTTCTGGTAGTTTCAGCAGGCGTAAGTCGTGCTTCACCCTCCTCCTTTAACTCCGACACAGCAATGTCCTCCAACTGATGATATCCCATCGGCTTCACACTCCTCTTTACAGGCTCCGACCCGGAAGAGCTGAATTGTTCCTTAGAGGAAGCCCTAATTCTTTTATTGTCCCTCCAGAACTTCTTCCCGCAAGAAGTTTCCGTCAATCCTCTAACTCGACTCCTGGAGAGAAAGAGAGGGTCCAAACGTTCTATAAGATTCTGACCTTAAATTAGAGGGAGTACATGAGCATATGAGCTAGTACCTATGTCCGGCGGACCGTGAGAAGAGGCGATAAAAGTTCCGGGATGGAATTCTGACACCGCCAGCCGCAGCGGATTCCAACATCAGCATTTTACTGGATTGTATCTGATTTTTTTGTGAAGTTCTTGACAGATGTGAGATTGGGTATGAAATCTGGGCGATGAATGATGTTTCCCACAAAAATGCTAAAACCCCAAAATAGGCAGTACTGTCAGTTTTCTACTTGAGTCAAAATGTTGAGTTTATTGATCTCTTCGTTATCGTTAACTAGTACCATACTCGTGCGTTGCACAGGTCGCAATTACGTTATAAATTTACATTGGTATCATAAATAAAAGAAAAAAAAAATAAAACATATAATGAAATATAATATTTTTTTAGTATCGTAAAGCACGAATATCTATAAATTACAAATTTTGAAAAACCTCTTTATAAACTACATTAGTGGTTCATTTTGTTGAGACATCCTCTGCGTTGCAAATAAGAATCTTCAGGCCATTACGATTTGTTACTCTTGAAACCGCAACATATAATTGTCCATGATTAAATACGGGTTTCCATAACAATAATCCCACGTGTTTTAAATTGGCTTTGACTCTTATTAATGGGCATTGCATAAGAAATAACCACAGGGAATTGTGTTCTTTAAAACTTGAATGGTATTCTTGCATCAGATGGTGCCAGTGATAGTTTTGGAATAACAACTTCTTGACCCATGTGTCTTCCAGATAAAATCTTTTCTTGGATCGAGTGATTAGCCAACGAGTTACTATCAATCGAGTAACATTACACAAACCCATTGAATGATCAATGTTTCTTAGTAACATAATCAGAGTACCTACCTTCAAAATGAGCTCATGATTTGGTACTCCGGAAGCACGAATATTATTCAAGAACTCAGGAGTATGCAAGTCGTTAAAGAAATTCGAATTAGAGTCCGAGTTCTCAACCTTGTCGGAACTAAGATAACTGCGTGATTCCTCATTGGGATTCATCGATTTCATATATTCATTTATAGAATCGACGACATCCAACGTTGGAGTCAAAATTGCACGGTCCTGCAAATAGCTTGGATCATTTGCTATTTTCTGAAAATCTTTGGAGCACATTTAACCATGCGTTCTTCTGGCATGGTACGACTAACAACTTTTTCAATGACATTTGTGATTAAAATAATAGTATATAATATTTATTTTATTTAATGTATAACTGACATATAAAAAAAATTTGATATAAACATTATATAATTTACTCACCAATCAACAAAATGTCGTCCATCAAAGGCAGTAATTTGATATCATCGAATGACATGAATTTGTATCAGAAATTTGGAAATAAGTCTCAAGACAATTTTTGAATTTTGGTTGTTCCAAAATACACTATCATAAAAGGATATAACAAAAAACGTAGTATAAAAATATTGTTTATGGGCACAAACATTGCACATGTTCTCATAGTATAAATTTATGGTCCTACTTCAAAGAAAGGAAATTGCAGTTTATTTCTAAGAAGATTTATACTACTACGTTGATGAAGGATGTGAGTTTTCTTAAACAAATAATTTGTTACTAATATATAATATAATTTTCCTTTAACCGATGATCAAATTTTGTTCAATTTAACTACAAAAGGATAAACTGGGTAAATATTTCGGGACAAAGGTAATAAGTAAATTTAATTAAAATAGGGTGAAAAAAATATCATATAAAAATGATCTCAACTACCAAAGTCATGATGAGCTTTATATTGTTTCACAAGTTAAGACAAAGATAAGATTAAAACTATTGTTTATAGAAGATAATAGAAATCCTTGCAACCATAACAAAATATTGTATATCTTGGAATCTTCCAAAAAATTTGAAATTAAAAAAAACTGTCGATTACACTTTCAATTTCTCAAATATTATTTATTCTACTTTGGATTTTGTGTCCATAGTATTAAAAATAGTGCTACAAATATATTTTATTTATTCCTTAAAAATGTTACATTGAAAAAAAAATTATGAGGGTGTATCCAATCTAGATTTTAAAATATTGTATAAGATTATTTAAAATCTGTGGATTATGTAAAATCTTAGTTTCAGAAAAATTTTTGTTCGGCCCCGTGCATGGCACGGGTCAAATACTAGTTCTTTAATATAAAAAGGGGAATCTAAACTCTAAGAACTTGACATGTGGTGTCTCTTAGAAATTGACACATAGCATTGGTTATGTGGCATTTATGTAAAAATTGAATAAAAAATTTCTTAAAGAAATAATTCAATTCCATCATTTCTCTTCTCCCTATAAGGAATATAAAAAATTTTGAATATATACTTCCTTTTTTTAATTCTTGCATCTTCAATTCTTTTCTCTCTTACCCTTTAAAAACCTCATTATTTCGAAATTGGCATTTACAATATTTTTACATGAATTTCAGATAAATTTTTAAAAATTGCACATGAAATTTGGCGTATAAATATTGTTTAGTAAAATAATATAGTCATATTAATTATATATTAAATTATTCTACATCAAAAAATCTAAAAAATTATTTTATATTTTTGAATTATTATTAAAATATGTTTTAAAATGTACTATCTTTTATACTCCCTCCGTCCCAAAAAGTCTGTTACGTTTAGAAAAAACTACGTCCCGTAAAGTCCGTTACATTTGCCAAAAAAAGACCCATTTACCCTTAGCCCTAATTGATTCCCACCCAAACCCACTTTTGTCAATCCAGCTTGTTTATCCCTTTGTCCTTATCAAAAAACTTCGATCTCCCAACCTCTTCCCTGTCGCCGCCACTTCTTCTCTCGGGATCTATCTTCTGATATTTTTTCCTCTCTCCCACTTTGAATTGGAATCACCAGTCTCGGTGATTCATGACCATACGATGCCAAGCTTCAAGCTATTAAGCGATACAGATGAGGAAACGCCTAATCCATCGCGAAGCAGAAGTTCTTTAAAGCATCGAATCCCTAAATACGACTCTGGAGATAGTGGATCTGGAACTTCATATACGGATCCAACGTGGTGGTACCGTAAAAAGTATCTTGGGGGAGGTAATTTCCCGTCGGAGGATAAAGAAAGATCTGAGGAAGAGGACGGGGAGGATAAAGAATCTGTTACATGCGCATCCTAGAGATGTCTGATACTGATTTTTTTTTGCTCAGCCCCTTGGAGATGAGGCTAAGGGACGACGCTTTAGACAGAGTATTCTCTCTCTGCTCCTTTAGTTTACATTACACATGCTATTTGAATGTCCCTCTTCCGTGCTCATTGGCAAACTTATGATGCGAAATTACAATTTTCTCACTCTTTGGATATATGTGAGCTTTATTTGTGTTTCAAGCTATATTGTAATGTCACCCCGTACGTATAGGTTGGAGACTTACAAGACGCAATTGGTCTTTGCGTTTGGTCTACCCGTGTTCTCTGTTAGGTTATGTGACCTCCAACTTGATAAAACATATGTTGTAAGGTAAAACAGATGCTACACTGTTGTACTTGTACTTGATAAAACAGATGATATACTGCTCTTACTTGAATTTCATAAACAGATGCTACAAAAAGAGTCATAGTTGAACTTGATATAACAGATGCTACACTGTCTTACTGGAATTTCATAAAACAGATGCTACAAAAAGAGTCATAGTTGAACTTGATATAACAGATGCTACACAATACATACAAGCCTTAAGTCTATGTCAGTTAGTTTAAGTTTAATGTTCCACTCTCCTTCTGTAGCTGCTTGAAGAAATTGATGGTCAGTTCCATCCATATGTGGTTTGGCATTATCTTGTTGGATAATAATATTCCAGGATGAACCTGGCTATTTTTCCTTTATTGCACGCAGTACCTTAGTAAGTAGCATCCTCAGCATGACCTCTCTAGTGATGTTAGGGATAGGTTTCACTTCCATAGTCCCTGCAGGTCTATTTTTACTGGCCCTTGAGCTTCTGCTAAGTAAGTGAAAGGGAATATGCCTATTTTGCCATCCCACATAAGTTCCCCATCATCCCCATACCTTGGCCTGCCAACAGCTGCTAAAAACATTATTTTGGGTATGAAAATTTTGTTTTGAACTATCCAATAAGGGTCTGCTTCGGTTGGTAATGCATAAAATGTTGTGCTCTTTTTGCTGATCTCAAACCACTTTTCATCAATATGAATGTGATCATAAAAGTCATGAAAGGTTGGGTTCAAGGGGATTGATTGGGCAACAACATGCTCCACACAGAATTTAAGCCTTTTAAGTTTACCTTCTTCACTTAGAAGTGGCTTAATGGCATTGGAATGCCTCGTGATCTCTTTCAACTCAACCCATCTATGGACAGTTGACTTTGACACCTCCATGGCATATCCAAGTGCACGCATGTTCTTTCACCTATTAAAAGGCACAACTGCCATCTTTTCTGTGTCAATAGGTGTTCTTTTTCTCCCACACTTTCCTTTCCACTGACATTGAACATCAATGGGTTGACCAACATCCAATTGAGTTTTGGCTATGGACCATATTCTGCTTACTATTTTCCTACTTATGCTGAGTTCATTAGCAACTTTAGTGATGCTACCATGCTGAAGTTTGCCATTCCTTACATGTTGTAGTAAAAAGTCAGAATTTTTTTTCTAGCTTGATTTTGTAGCACACCTTTGCTGTTCTTGTCCCTCTCTGTTTCAGGAGTTCTGAGGCTGGAAAAAGGCACATCAATTAGAGGAGGAAGATGGTTAAGTGAAGCTGATTCATCTTCTGAAAAGGGAATGGAATTAGAAGAAAAAGTGGGGGATGACACCATGGGGGAATCTGCCATGCTGGAAAGGAAGTGTTAGGCGTGTCGTAGCACCTACAAATTAATTTATTATTTTCCTTAACTTTTAACCCCCTTTATGAATTAATATTCATCAAAACATATAGATAGGGCAAGTAAGGGTCGATCCCACAAGGAAAGATACTTTTTAGGCTATGAAAATCAATTTACTTTGTCACTTTTATTGAATAAAAACTAACGAAAATCTAAAACTAAAACTAAGAGATATGAGGGGTTTGAATGATAATTCTAAAAAGATAAAAATGCAAATAAATTAAAGATAAGGGCTAACAGATAACAGATACGAGATAAGACCACAACAGCAACTCGAACTCAGAAGACACTCAGGGAGAAACAAACACACAAAAACAATCACACAATAAACTTTATAAAAACATAGACAATAATAACTAACTTAAACCATTAATACTTATACTTTTTAGTAGAAAATAAATTGAACAAATCTGATTAATCAATTAATTATGTCTTAATCCTGAAACTAAACTGCTAATTAAACTCAGGGTTAAGCTGAAGAAGAGATCCACCTGCGGTTCTTCCCTATTCTTCCTAATATAGCCTATGTTAAGACCTGCCCTAACTCTAGACCCTACTATTCTTAACAACCCAAGGACCTGCCCCCAGATTTAATTAAAAATAGAGCATTAAGTTCTTTGGAAAACATCACTCAACAACTATGCAGTAGACTATATCTATTTAACATAGCCAGTTTGAAAACTCTGATTAATAAAAACTGGGTGGGAGCCAATTAAGTATTAACCAGGTGACACTTGTGTTTTAAAAATCTCAGCTATAAACGTACTCAAGATCTTAAAACTGTCAATTGGAATTAGAGTTTAGGCGGCCGTCCTAAATTAATCTAATCCAAGTTTAAACAAAGACCTGTTTTCAAACACCTTTTCGAATTTAGATTTGACAGTAGCACAAAGGCTAAAATTCCTTCAAAGTCAAATTAATCCAACAAAAACAAACCAAATCAAAGATTCAATCCTTTTTATTAAACAATTTGGCCTAAGAAGGTTTTATAATTTCAGAGACAATAATCAATCAATAAATCATATTTGAACAATTCAACATCAACACTCAAACAATTCAACACTTATAATATCACTTAAACATTTAATAAGAATGAATAGAAATTGAACACAAACAAATACGGAGTATTAAGTATTGGACAATCAAAGTCATAAATTGAGAATTTTATAACTAAGGTTGTCTAATTAAAAGTAATGAAATTCAAAAGAATTAAGTTTCTCCCCTGGTT